ACTCAGAGCCAGCAATGATGTGCTCAGGTCCCGTCCTGGGTTTTGGTTCTCTCCGTGAATTGTGCGCACCTCAGCACAAGCACCACAAAACCCCCGCTCACTACTGCCCTAGCAAGCTTGCTAAGAAATTCAGCCTGGTGAATTGAATTGAATCAAGATGGGTTGTGATATGTTGTGATGACATGTGATGACTGTGGGCAAATGAACTCGCCCATGCTGTGCCCATGCTGTGCTTGCCAAAGTCGGCACCCGTTGATGGACCATCATGCCCCTGTGACCTGTGAGTCCAACAACACTCAGGTAGACGCGCCTGGTTCTTGGAGAGTGCCACGTCTCCAAAGACCACATCTGGATGCTTGCCAAAGTCAGCAACGACAGAGTTCCAGCTTGGGGCCTGCTTGACTCATCAGCCTCAGCCTTCTGAGGCAATCCAGCGTATGAATACCTCGATTCAAGCGACAAATGAAAAAGGCGCTTTCTCGGACACACCGTTCGTGTATCTGGAAACTAGGGGCCAATCCCAAACCCTGCCAAACACATGAAACATGCTACACTTTTCATGTGGAACAACTCCGAACACTCAAACAGAAATCTGGTGGTGCAGCGTCCACATAAGCAAACACATGCAAACGCACAGATGAACAATTGGTTCGCAACATTGAGACCAACCTGCTGTGCACACCACGGGGAGAGGAGTAGGACCCAGAAACGGCTCGACGTTGTCTCGGATCAAGTGGCAGTCTTCCCCGCGTCGACGTTGTCCTTGACGAAAGCGTCTGCTGTTTCAGCAGTGAGCTCGGTTGAGAAATCCCAGTGATTGTCTGGGTATATCCCAGCCTGAACCCCGACGAGCAAGCAAATGTTGATCACCTTCGATAACACCATCATGCTCAGGAGTCGAGGCCCACTTGAGCCAAACGACTACTGTGTCAAGCTTAGCACGAAAAACCTGAATTAACTTGAACAAGAAAATGTAATTCGTTCCAAGTTGTGTCAACCGCATCCTGTCCGGAGGGATGAGTCTACCGCGCCTGCTCGGCAGGAAAGAAAGCCTCAGGCTTGACGTGCAAGCTGGACCCAGCAGTGTCAGACATGTTCGTGCAAGCGTGAACTCATGGTCACAGAACTGCCACAGAACCAGCTCTCAATGTTCGTCTGGGAACTGAGAAGGCTTGCAGCAAATTATAGCCCCAAAAAAGTAAAAGTGGCCAGGCTACAACTCGCCGCACTTGTTTTCTCGCATGTAAGTTTCAGTGCCGTGCGCCGGGCGCCGGAGAGAAAGCCAATCGGCAGAAGGAAATGCGAAAGCATGCAATGAGATGCAATGGGGTCGCCACCTTTCCCAATCATAAACGAAGAGAAAGGTCACCTTTCCAAGGCTCCATCCCAGCAAGCATGCGCAGGTAAAGTGTAGGGCCTATTTTCATGAAGCTTCGCTGGGAGTAAGAGTCAGTCATAACTCGGGATGGCTTTGGAAATTAGTAAGATTCACTACGATGGCAATGGGCACAAGGGAAACTGCTGTGAGCTTCCACTACTAAAATGTACGTCTTGAAATCACGCACCCCGCCAGTAGTTTCCACCACCATTGCCTCTTCCGCCTTTCGCTTTGCCTTTGCCGCCCTTCCGGTCGGCTTTGCCGCCGTCCTTTCCATTTCCTTTGCTTTTGCCACCTTTCCTCTTCGGCCTGTCGCTCTCCTCATATCCATCGTCGCCCAGCCATTCAGACTCATCACCTCTGAGCGGCGGTTTGATGGTTTAAAGCTGCCCCACGAGCATCAAACCTAGATTGTAGTTGACACTAGCTAGAGACCCATTCGATTCCACTCATCATGACCAGTACCGAACAAAAAGGCCAAGATTTTGCACCAGGCAAGCTTTCTCAGATTGATTGAGAAAGCTCATGAGGAATCACTAAGCATCTCTGCCCTGCCTGCCAAGCCCATCGACCCGGTGGGAGTTGCCGGCGGCTGTCCGTTGAAGCGAGCGCTGAGCCAATCATCCATCTTTCGATCTCGCCAGCCCTTCTTCTTGGGAGCAGCACTGGCTTGGCTTGTGGGTGACCCACCTGGGCATGGTGAACAAAAGACAGAATGGATGGACCCACCTGGGCTGGGCTCACATGGATGGTCAAATGATGCACACTCCCTGACATAATCATGGTTACTTGGATGGCCTGGCCCCGTGACCCTTTTCCGAAGACCGAAGGGGCCAACTTTCATGAACGGCGACGCCAACTGGTCCTGGTCTTCCCTGGGCCAAGCTGCCTGGATTGTAGACAGGTGGGGCTTTCCCCTTTCCGGGCAGCGGCATTGGCATGGAAGACATAGGAACGGCCTCCGGCAACTTTGGCGACTCTTTCCTGAGGTACGATGTGAGGCGTGTTGGGTCGAGTTAGCATGAAGGTCTCACAGCCTATTCGTCTGCTTGTGGTGTTTCTTTCAAGCCTACATGGCCTGAAGTTGAAAGTGCCTTCTGCTGCAAGCACGCTTAAAACACCAAGAGAGTTCCCTTCTGAATTAAGCCAAGGGTCGGTTGCCATTGATCCTGCCGAATGCCTCGATTTTGTCCCTTGCCTACGTTGTTCTTCTGGACCTCTACCCACTTCTGTTGTGGCATATCCTTGCCCGCCTTGCCACCTCCAGATCCATCATCACCTGCTTTGTCGGCCTTGCCGTCTTTCTTCCCTTTTCCCTTCCCAAAGCCTGCCTTCTGCTGATTGTCCACGTTAGGCATGGCCCACATCTGCGCCATCTCTTGATCCAAGCCTCCTGAATCTTGGATGTCAGCCCACGGATTCTTGGGCTTTCGCATGCCCTTCTGCGTGCCATCCTGAGATGCCGACAGTGCCTGATTTCCTGCTCCTTTCCCTTGCTCTCCAGGCACGGCAGGCACTTCCGAGTCGGGGGCTCGAAAAAGATCTGGACGTCCCGGACGGCTCGCTTGCCAGCTCGCACCTTGCTTTGGCTGAGTATTGCGACGCCCGGCGGCCATCCGCCCAGGACCCCCTTTGGCATCACCATCACCTGGAGATTCACCATGTGGAGCACCCGGGCCGTCACCGCTTTGGGGTCCTTGCGCCTGCCCTGGTTGGTTTCCGTGTCCATCAGGCATGTGTCCTTGCATATGGGCCATCTGGCCTTGCATGCCTTGCATTTGAGTCATTTGACCTTGCATCCCCTGCAGTCCTGCCATTCCTGGCTGCATCTGCCCTGGCCCTGGCGCTCCGGGCACCATAACAAATTGCATGCCGCCAGGGTGAAACTGTTGCCCACCCTGACCATTGGAACCTTGGGGTCCAGGGCTCATTGCTGCCGCCATTTGGCCTTGCACCATGTTTTGTGGCATCATCATGTTCTGCATGGGCTGGAAAACATAACCACCGCAACCACCACCAGCACCACAACCAGCACCAGCACCAGCGGCACCAGGACATCCACCACAGGGGTTGCCTTGGCACGGACCACCGGCTTGACCGTGTTGCATCATTTGATTGTGGGCTGCGTGCGCCACTTGGCTGTCCATGGAAAATTGGACCATCGTGCCATCAGGTGACATTCCTGGGGACATGCCTTGAGGCACTTGCATGCCTTGCCCCATTCCTTGTGCCATGCCTTGGGGCATGCCTTGTGGCATGCCCTGTGGCATTCCTTGATGCATCCCCTGAGCCATGCCTTGCATACCCATTGCATGGCCTTGCATTGCGTAGCTGGGATGAGGATGACCTTGGGCTTGGGCAGCTTGATTGCTCATCGGGACTTGTCCCACTTGATTTTGGAGCTGCTCCATGTTGCCAAAGGGCATCTGGGGCATCTGGCCCGGAGAGGACATCCCTGGCATTTGTTGGAACATCATCTGCCCTTGGAGCATCTCCGGCGAAAAGTGGCCAGCGTTGGCATCCATGGCTCTTCGACGTCTTGTCGAGTGCAAAGTCTTCGTTTAAAGCAATGTGTCACACAGCGTTGAACGCATCTGCTCAAATTCTACTTCTGTGTCATGTTTCGAAATCTCTTTCAAATCCTTCGCGCTTGGATTCTGCACATCCGGGCAGCGGGGCGCACATACATCATGCCGCATTGTGGCCAGGTATGGTTCATGAGATTTCATGAGTCGGACGCCCGCAGGAAGTCCATGCCAATGATCAGACTTCTAGAAACAAAGGGCCCCTGCAATGGTCCAATGCCATGGTTTTTTAGCCGCACCAATTCTCCGACAACAGAACCCGTCTGTGGTGTCTCCCTGGAAGAACCCTTGTCGTTTGTCCGTCCCTGCCTCCATCACGGGAGCTTGCCGGCCTCGGTCCTGCCACAAAACAGCAAGCTCAAGAGTTGCTGTCCTGTCTTGCCCGACAGATGAGGGCCAACACGCTGATGAACAGGTTGCACCACTAGTTACTAGCTATCGGTTCCTGAGCAAAACAGCACGGAACAGCCAGCTGTTCCGGTGAGGCCTCTGTGCCCTTCTCAGTCTCCTCATTCATGCACAACCCATGCGGCCCAAACTGCTGTTGTCTGCAAGTAATGTGGGGTCTGTAGCAGCTTCGTGAACAAGTCCAAATTTCGGCACTTTTCTTGGCATGCTCGTGGGCAAGGTCACATTTGGATATAATAGTTACAGTGTCGTGTCTCAAGGATCTAAGAACAGGCATGCAAGAATGTTTCTCACGCTGAGCTTGAGCATGCGTTTTGAAGTACTTGGTTCTGTGAGGCGATGGGAAACAGAGGGGTGCACCACAGCACTGGGCGGCCTCCGAACCCACCCGGGCAACTCGGCCACACAAAGGCGCCCAAGTAGAACAAAAACCACCAAGTAGACAAGGTGCGCCTCTTGTAGCGCCCACTTGGTGCCATGATTCTTTTGTGGGTTCTCATTGAAGAATTGAAGGGGTGCACTTGCCAAATAAAGGCCAACCTCCTGTGAAGCAAATGCAACTATATATATATATGTAATATATACACATGTATGTATGTATTTATGTGTGTGTGCGCGTGTTGTCTTTTCTCCTTTTTGCTCGCCCATTCGGGACACTGCTGGCAATTTAACTTCTTAACTTGGACTCTGCCAGGGTCATCTGTTGTAAGCACTCAGCGCTGGGAATGTTGAGTCACTCATCAAACAAGCCTTGGGTCAAAGTGCTCAGGTCTTCATCCCTCTCCGCAGCCCCTGCAGAGATCAGGGATGGATCGTTTTGCACACTGTTGAGCAACTCTGCCAGCGCATCATCACCCTGCAGCCTGCAAGAAAAGCATTCAACCGTGCACTCAACGATGAAATCGGTTGGGCTAACAGGGTTGCCTTTGGTATCATCCAAAGCCCCCCCAAACAAAAAGCATACACACACATTATCCAGGAGATTACGAGGTGGCAGGAAATCAGCATGCTTTTTTGTGAACTCTTCACATTGGAGGGAGATGCCTTCTTCACCAAACACACGTAATGCCATGCATCTCTCGTTCTTGCAGTGAAAACATGTGCTGTCTGTGCGTTCCGAATACCAAACAGGTGGCGCCATCCACTTCTATGTGATGAGTTCGTCATAGGGTTTTTCTGGTCGAAAGACCCCGGGCCCTGAGGTTCCCCACAAGACCTGGGTGTCCCGGCGGTCCACTGGGAGGGTTTGCATGCCTCATGCCTGACAAGACCCGGCAAGTCATAGGCCAGAGGAGCCAAAACCAAAAAAGAAGATTGAGACGCCAACAATCTCAATTCCAGAAACCCAAAAAAACACAACAACAGAGCTGACCCCGACCTGGCAACTCGCTCGGTTCTGGCACACTGATTTGGCCCTTCCGGGCTTCAAGGCCGGCCAGCAACGAGGCAGAAGCCAAGCGCAGCAGCGACGAAGCGTTCGCAGACTTTGTCGTCCAGACTTCGAGCTGAAGCACCTCCTCGTGACTTGTGACTCGTGACAGGTGATTTGGGTTGATTTTGGTGCAATAACCAACTGGGACCAACCAAAGCAACACAGCAACGCCACGTCTTTCTCGCATCGTGGTAGAGAGAGAGAGAGAGAAAAAAAAAAAGACAGCCTCTCGGGGTCTGTTCAAACCATTGCTTCGATGAATGCCCCCATCACAAGAAGCTTTATATAACTGTCACTGCGCGGTTTTCCCTTCAAAGAGCAGTCTGGGCAATTGAGAATCCCCCAGAAAGTCCCAATGCCATGATTTCTGACCAAAACCAACGGCAAAAAATCCAACTCGAGGAGTCGGATGATCCCGGTGTGAGTGGACCCGACCGGCTGGACCCAAACGGTCGAGTTGTGCATCCAACACTGGTTCACGCCCCACGCGGATCGGCACATCCGGCTTAGCCGTGGGAGCACTGCGCCTGATCTTCCTCTCCAGTGATCAAATAGTTCACTTTCTTCACCTGATAGCAACAAACATGCCCCACACTGCACACGCCCCGCCCAGCCAAGCAGGGCTTGTTCTCCTCCGACGGTGGACACATTTAAAGTGACATGGCTTCACATGTTGCCCGTGTTCTAGTTGCTTTTCAGGAAAGCACGTGGGCAAATGCTTTCCGACTCCGGCATCTCGTTTATGTCCCTTTCCTGGTAGTCCCAATCAGAACTGTGACTCATGGCACTTGAACAACATCACTTGGAACCCTGACTTATCCGTAGCAGAAGCCTCTTAGCATGTGAAAAAATGATGAAACCTGCCAGAACCCCTTTTTATAACACCGACCACCCCACAGGCCAAACGCGACGTTGTGGGACCGGAAATGTTCAAAGGATCTGTGGCCCCCAAGGATCGGTGGCTTTGGAGTTCCGTACGCTTTGATGATTCAAAGGTTGATGACACTGCAACAAACCAAGGCCACCAAGGGAATCATTGCAGCAGGAGGCACTGGCGAAAAGAGCGGTGGAACCATGAGCCAATGGTCAAATCGAAGCCGTTGGCGATATTCTTCAAAGGCTGGCGCAATTTCCCATTCCTTCAGGCTGGAGCTGTTCAATGAAACGCTATGGTATGACAGGTAGGACGGTATGACTACCCATTTATAAAAAGCGCGCACCAGAATGACCTCAGGACAACTTCGGCAAACCGATCACAGCTGCAGCCATAAGTCTGGGAAAAGCCTACCTCCTGCCCTACACCGGAGTGCATGGTGAACAATCCCGCCAATTGCTAAGTTGCCTGGTTCTGTCCACCTATCCAAGGCACAGTCTGCGAGCAGCAGGTGGCTTCTACTTCAAACTCAATGATGGCAGGGGCTGAGATAGTTAGTAAATGCTGATCCACAGGCAAGCACATAGGCCTTTCGTAGAATGTAGAGCCATCAATCGCATCCTCAAGAACGGTCTTGGAGGGATCATCTTGGCCCTCTGAGCCCACCACATATTGACTTGTAACTGGTGGCATGTGAACCTCTGGCGCTAGACTTCCTAAAGATGTAGAATTAATTGAATGACCAAGGATCCAAATCACTGGCTCTTACAGCGCAAGGCCCACATCTGCGAGCAATCCAGCGCCAACCTCTGTGTCTGTGTGCCGTGTGTGCGTGTGTGTCATGGATAGCAACTTGTCCCAAGTGTCTGAGTCAGTTCTTCAACACACCAAACTGAACGAGTTTCAATGGGGACCGGGAAAAGCATTGAAACGGTCTGCCCTGTCTCCAAGCACGACAATCAAAACACACGCAGCTTTGGGCCCAGCAACTGTCTGGTTGATTGGAATTGGGAGCTTCTGCAGCAAGAGGCAGGTTGCTCGGTAGGTACCCAGCAGGTGCGACAGCTAGATGTTGGACAAACCGCACGACATCGATCATAGACTCCTGGGGCCAGAGCAGGTCGGGTTTGGATGGTGGTTGCTTTGGCAACACCATAAAAACCGGGAAGTGAGGGAGGTTGCCTTGTCAGGTCACGGTCTTTGGTGCTACTTGTCCAAGACATGGTCTTTGGATTCTCTGGTGCTAGCACAAGTAGCCTCCACACGGGTGTTCTTTTCGCCACCTCTGAACCAAAAAAAAGAATGAAGAAAACAGCAGTGTCCTGCACGCCCGGAACAGAGGCATATTCATGCAGTGCAGGTTGAGATCGCGATACAAAGACCTGCAGCTGAATGCAGCTGAATGGTACTGCAGCACGTTGCAGCACTGCAGTGTAACTTTTTTGTTGAGCTTTTCATGCCGCATTTCTTCCAAGGATACAGTAAGTCCAACGGAAAGGATCGGCGTTCCGGCTTCCCGCCTTCCCCGTCGCCACCTCAAAGGATCTGCGGCGCAACCGGAAAGCGACGGGTGCAACGCTTCGAAAGAGGTCCTGTGCCACGCTTCGAAAAAGGTTCTGCAGGAGAAGCAGCACAGGAATACCTATAGACCCCCAAATAGATGATAGTAGTAAAAAGATAGTAAAAGATAGTAAAAGTAGATGCCCACCAAAAAAAATGTAATGAAAACCGTGTCACTATCATTCACTATCTATTGGGAGATCATTATACCCTATCCGAAGTTAAAGGTCTAAAGGTCGCTGCCAGTTCTTCTCCTGCCGGAGTAGGGTTCGCCGCAGCGTGTTTCCTACACTCCGTGCTTGGCGTACAGGTATTCCGTCGACGCGAAACCGGCAGTAGGAGACATACTCGTCGGACACATCCTCCTCCTGGACGAAACAAAGACAGATGTCACAAAAAATGAATCACAGACAGATGGCCACATTGGAAACATTTGGAAACCATGACCATTTCGTTCCAAAATGCTAAGAGCCTTTTGGGAAGTGAGTTGTGTGTGCCGTCTGTCCTCCACTGACCAAAGCTTGTTGGCAGGGTCTTCATTCACAAACTCTCCATACGACTTGAAGACATGTGCGAGCGTATCCTCCACAAAACGATCCATATGGCACGCACGTGCCATTATGCATCTCGTGTTCGTTTGAAGTGAAACATGGGGAGAAACTGAAGAACCGAAGAACCTGTCACAGCTGACCAAAAAGACTTCTGACGAAAAGCTTACAGAACGTTCGACAAGCCGAGGCATGGTCCTCTAGTTTGGCATGAGTTGCAAGCCTGCGTTGTCGTCTGCCAGTGAGGCTCACGCCAATGCAAGGGATCAGCAACCTGAGTTCGGAACAAGTATGGACAAAAATACAAATAACATTGTCATACATTGTCACTGAGAATCCCAAAAAGGCACCATCCGCGTGCCCTAGATGTCGTGAAAGCTGCTCGCACTCTGTGGAAAGCATCCATGTCCATCAAAATAAAAACGAACCGCCGACCGGGGGGCGAAAGATGACCCGGGCCGGTCGGCGCCCTCCGGTCGCCGGTGCGACCTCTTCGCTCGAGAGCATCGGCTTTTAGACCTCGACCAGGTCTGGTAGGTCTGGACTGCCAGGTTGGTGCGTGAAGGGGGGGCAACTGCACCTCCATGGCGACCCCTCGTGTGCGGTTGGCTAAGCACCAGCCAGGTCGTGTACTTTCTCCACCGTGTCTGCTATAAAGTCATGAAGTCAGGCAAGTTTTTATACCAAAACATCCAACCAGAACTTGCCACCCAAAAAATTGGTCGTCTGCAAGGTTTACCAATTCGTAGGTGCTTAAGTTTCAGGAGCATGGCCCATGAGTCCTTTGACTTTGTGGGGCATACCCTCATTCATGAACCTCGTGGAATGAAGCGAAAAGGCTGCGCTGCTACAAATCAATGTATTTCACCCAGCGCTCGTGCCCGCAAACACAAAGCGCCGCATCCTCAATAAATAGCCTCTTTGTCGCATGCCAAACTCAATTTCTGGACTTCCTATGCCAATGCAAGTTCGGCACCCGTTTCGCACGTTGCTGCAATGACTCCTTTTTGCGTCCTTCTAGCACTTGGGCCTACGTATCTTTTGGCTCAAAGAACCAGGCTCAATGTCAAAGACACCGCCCAAAAAAAGGGTCAGGTGATCAGGTGATCAAAGGCATTGCAGTTGTGCGCATTTGGACTCCAAAAGTTCAGCGTTGTGCTCTTAAGAAAACTATGCTCTTCATGTCACTGGAGCTCATGCCTTCAAAGAGTCGCTCCGATGCGAACACTCAAATATTCCCATGCCTGGCACATCTCACGAACTTTGGTGCATCAAGTCCAGTCTTCAAGCGGAAGCCGAGATTTCAGGTGTGTGGTTTGGTTCCCAAACCTTGTGTTTGATGGCTGGGTGGGCTTGTCATTGCCGTTGTCAAGAGGCTATCCGCTCCATTAAAGCTCTTCCCTCATATCGTTTTGTAAATCTTGTGACTCTCTTGGAAAAAATATACTGTATATATATACTATATTGTACAATTATATATATATAATGCCTGTGAGAATCTTGATATCTGATCATCTCTACAATGGATTCCAGTCAACACCCAACACCATTGAGGGTGCAACAAATCGATGCCTCTGCTGGGAGGAGAATGGTGGCCTGGTTGCCGAACAGCTCGGGCGACAGTGACATGTAAGGGGTCATTGCGGCGTCTTGCTCGGTTCTAACAATCAATGAATCAGCCCTAGCAGGGCTATGGGACGCTATCCAACCTATTCTGCGCGTTGCCGCTTCTTAGCAAGAGATGTTCATTGATTTTCTAGGCATACTTGGTCATCTTGGCCCTGCACACTGGTAGCCAGCAGCAAGGTTGCAGCCAGCTGTCCTAAGAAGCAAAATGAAAGAATCCAAACACCTGATCTCTGGGGAAGTCAGGAGCAGCATAGCTGGGATGCTGGATCACCATGTCTTTTTGCCCGTCCCTCTTCGGGCAAAATGCGGCACAAACTCAGAGGCTCCCCTTGAGACAAGTATCCATACTTCCTGCTGTGGTGTGGTGTGTTGTAAGAAGACAACACAGTTAAGATTGGCAGTGTTGGTTCTTCTCTTTGAGTGTTTCATGGCTCTCCCTTGCCTCATATATAGTGCCTGCATTTATAGACTCGACGTTTGTGAGAATGTGATGTGCTCCCAACCATAGCAATCATAGTAACAAGGAGGGCGCTGGACACCAAAGCCAATGAACGATGCTGACCAGGCGCGCTCAACTCCAACAGCCGTAACATTGTCCTGTCCACAGTCAAAACACCAGTGCGTGAGCTAGAACTATATAAGTCCATGTCAATATGGGTGTGCATAGGAAGACCCTCTGGCCCAATGTGGTTGAATTTGCTCAATTTTCCGAACCTTCCAGGGCCTCGTTGCCTGAGGCTCTCAGAATGACCCCAGGCACGCTGTCACAAAAAACGACGCATGGTTCGTAGCCTGCGGAGGCATGACCTGGCGCTGACTGGTCGTTTCAAGAGGCTTACACTAGTGTTTGGCCAACAACTAAATCTACCTTCAGAATGTTTGGAGATGCTTTGAGAATCCCCCATGCTAAGAGATGTTCCACACCGGGCATTGACATATGTTTGCAGGATCCACTAAGCTGGCCTCTCTCTCTCTCTCTTTCTCTTTCTCTTTCCCTTTCCCCTTCCCTTTCCCTTTCCCTTTCTCTTGCTCTTTCTCTTGCTCTCTCTCGCTCTCTCTCTCTCTCTCTCTCTTGCTGTCTCTCTCTGTCTCTCGATAGGGGGCCACCATCTTTGACATGAGATCTATATATATATATACTTGATGCACATTAGAATGGCACCTAGGTGAGTATACACACAAGGCCCAATGGAGAACTCGATCTGCAAATGCCAAACTGTGGAGAGGGTGAAAAGGCAAACATTCAAGGAGCGGAGGTACAAAAAGGATCATGGACGAGATCCATCAAAATAAAATAGATTTGCTCATGTCAAAAGCAGGCATCGCAACATGATACAGAAATGAACATTGGGAGTGGGAGGCTCAACAACAGCATCAAAAATCTCAAAAACAAAAACGATGGCCTCATCTGCTCTGCGACCCAGGAGGAGCTGAATCATGAAGATCTTGGCGTTGACAAATCAGGCAAACTGCTACGAACATTAAAACATTGAAGCCTAGCATCTTTTGAGCTGTCAATGTCTCTTAACTACCGGCCGTGTTTGGGGGAATCACGTACCCACGTTTCTCGGCTTTTGTTTTTTCATTGAGTACATATACTATATGCATACATGCACGCAACACGTGAGTCAGGAGCGACTGTGTGCATTTCAGTGGTTGGTAAAGCACAGATGCCTGGCGATGTCCACCCTTTTCATGCAAAGCCACAAGCCAGGGTGCTCGAAAATAAGGCCCACGCCAAAATAACCTCACTGGCAAAAATCCCACGCAAATCATCACGCCCTACCTGCAGCACCATGGCAGCAAAGTGGAGCATTGCCGCATCACATTCTGACTTGTACAGGATTTCACGCACCGCATTCACAAGTGTGCCGAGTTTTCGCGCAGCAGCTTCCTTACGGGCTCTTCCAGCCCCCACACAATGTGAATGGATCTCCCACCCAGGTGACACTAACAGCACTAACACGGAAGAGGCACCACTGGTTTTTCGGTCCCGGGGCCTCCAAGCACAAGCCTGCCAGACCTTGGAGCCGCCGGGTTCGGCTGGAATCGGATGCGGCCACGTCAAACGGCCTGCCAAAACGGGTCGTGTTGAGTGAAGGGATGGTCTATGATGGTCTTGTATGTGGAAGATCAAAAAAAACCCACCCCCTCAGCTTCAGCTGCTATCAAGTGCTTTTCGATCTGCTCATTTTCGGAATAGCCATTAAAGGCTCAAAACCTCATTGTACTAAATGGTACTTGACAGGATGTATGTAAGTATGTATGTATGCTGTATGTATGTATGTATGTATGTATGCTGTATGTGTGTATGTATGTATGTATGTATGTATGTATGTATGTATGTATGTATGT